GAGAGCGCTGTACATTCACTCCCCCCACCTACAATCCCTGCCTTTACCTTTAGGTTACGAGTCCGACTTTCTAACCATTAGGCCACGACTTCCACAAAAAAAAAATTTCAGGGGAGAGCGCGAACGCAGTCCCCCACTACCGTAAATTATGCAGTCGAGATTCCCACATTTGGGGAATTCGCAGGTGTTCCTCAGTGACCTCTCAAAGGACGGACCCAGTCCAGAGGAGGAGGTGGTTCAGCCTGACCAGCCTGACCCCGATGAGGACGATGAGGCCTACCAGAGCGACCCAGAGGCAGAGCAGGACAGGGTGACTGCTGACCGGGCCCACATAACCCTTACCATGGAGGAAACCACCACTGCTCACCCTCCGGCCTTTGTGATTCATTTTCTGTTCACCTGAATGCACCACTAGCATTTATTCAGTCTTTTTAGTCTGAGTGTTGACTGATTTTAAAATGAAGCCAATTGATGCAAACATTTTAGCTTAACGTGATTGTTGTACTTTCCAACAGGAGGATGCCTGTAGCCCCAACCCGCTGCCTGGATTCCAGCAGCTGGAAAACTTCTGCTCTCTGCTGGTGAAGATTGGCCTGACTGCGAACATTTTATATTTCATGTAACTGTAAATAAATTCAGAACTTATAGCATTAAAGGAATCTGTCACATATTTTACATATAATTGTCTTGGAAAAGACAGTTTTTTAATAATTTTCACTTAAGATAATGGTATATACATTACCTTAAATAATGAACAACACCAAAAGTAAAACAAAATTGTACTTTCATGTATGAAATTGGGATGCAATATAAAACACTGAAAATACATAAAAACAAAAGTATTACATCTATATACTGTAACATGTGTAGGGTATCAGACCGAATCAGACAATTTAAGATTTGATCAAGTACATAGTTGAAACACGAGGAGCCGAATTCCACAGAGGCCCAAGACACAGGATGTTCGTAAATCAGATCCTGGCGCCACAAGCCTGAAGCAAGCCCACCAACTAACAGCTTTGAGTAGCTCACAGCATTTAAACAAAAGAACACTTATTGACAATTCCAAGGAGATTGTCAATTTTGGGGGAAATCTCAGATCCTACTCTGCGCCTCTGATCGAGCGCCTCAACACCCGCTGCCAACAGCTGTTTGGAAAAACTGTGGAGGAGAATTTCCGCGCCCCTGCTGCTGTGACATCAAATGAGCTGCTTGGTTTGGAGTACCTCTTCAGCCAAAGCACAGGTGAATCTGGTGCCTTCTCCCTCAGTGACCTCTCAAAGGACGGACCCAGTCCAGAGGAGGAGGTGGTTCAGCCTGACCAGCCTGACCCCGATGAGGACGATGAGGCCTACCAGAGCGACCCAGAGGCAGAGCAGGACAGGGTGACTGCTGACCCGGCCCACATAACCCTTACCATGGAGGAAACCAACGCTGCTCACCCTCCGGCCTTTGTGATTCATTTTCTGTTCACCTGAATGCACCACTAGCATTTATTCAGTCTTTTTAGTCTGAGTGTTGACTGATTTTAAAATGAAGCCAATTGATGCAAACATTTTAGCTTAACGTGATTGTTGTACTTTCCAACAGGAGGATGCCTGTAGCCCCAACCCGCTGCCTGGATTCCAGCAGCTGGAAAACTTCTGCTCTCTGCTGGTGAAGATTGGCCTGACTGCGAATAAGCTGAGCCTGACGACGGAGCACAGGAACAGGCTCATCGCCGCATGGCACGCTGTCGAGGAACATGACAAGCAACCACAGAAGTTTCATCAGCTGTACAGAACACACTGGGGTAACACATTGTATTGCCGCACAAAGAGGGACGATCTTGCTGATGCTACTGTGATTCAACGAGTCAAGATGGCCAAACGCTATGCACCGGCACAACAGGACATCAGTGCTCACCACAACAGACTAATGTACACGCTGGTCAGACTTCTCTGGTCGGGGTTACCTCACAGTTCCAAAACGAGCCCGGAAAAAACATCCATCCTGAAGGCCTACGAGAGAATTCAGCACTGCATATTGGTGGAGGATCCAGTGCTGAGTAAAGTGGGTATTCCTCTACCAAAGATTAACATCAAGACGGTCCGGGATTTCATCCGTCATCAGGAGAGGCTCATCAACCTGCAGTCAACAAGAATGCCATCAGCCACAATATCAAAGACTGCGTCGGTCTCCTCAAAAGACTTACCTCCAGCACCACGTCAGCCGTCGGTTCTCCCTCCACCTGACTACCAACAGATTGTGTATGAACACATTCCCAGCAAGGCAGGGACCAAAGTCTTAAAAGAACGATCAGACATGGTGATGTCAGCTCCAAAAAACCTGTCCCAGGCAAAACACCCTGAATCTCCATTGACGTCTGACTTACCCCAGCAGAAAACTCCAGCCATGTCTACCATCTTCAGACCTCTACCTAGAATCACTTCATCCACTGCTCCTACACAAGTTATTCCGGCCACGTCCACCAACGCCACACCTGTGACAGTGTCTTCCAGCCAGACTGACACGTCACAGACTGCTGACACCCCTTCAGTCTGGTCCAGAGCAACAATGTACAAAAGAAAAAACACAATCATTCTTACTCAAGTTGGAGCAAAGCTTTCACGTGTACACCACTTGCCCATTTGCACACTTTGCCACCAACCCACTCAGGGACACAAAAAATATAAAAAGAAGACTTTTTGTCCCATGAAAATGATGTCGACCTCCAAAGGATTTGACAACAGAGTGTACACCAGCTATGAACACTTTACCACAGTTGTGGACTCACAAGAGTGAACTTTGTCTTGCTGTTCTGAAGTTCAACTAGGACCACTGTTGTGTCGTTTTTATTTTTAGAGTTACATTTCATGTAACTACAGTTTATATTGAATATTGTTTATTCTATATAGTTTGCCATGTAACAAATTTTACATTTGTTGTATCGGTCAAATATTTCCTGTTTAAACATAATATAGTTATATATATATATATATATATATATAGTTTATACTGAATATTGTTTATATTGCTTTTTAAATGTTTTCTATATCACGTAACTAATATTTTATACTTCTTGTAACTTGTGACGTTTATATTGAATATTGTTTTTGTATTGCATTTTAATTCATTCAAGTTTTATTCTATTTCATGTACCTAATACTTCATGTCATGTAACTAAATATTGTTCTGAATATTGTTTGAATTGCTCTATATATTTCATGCACATATTTTATATTTGATGTAACTATAATAATTTATATTTTATGTAACTAGTTTATATTGAATATTGTTTACATTGTTTTATATATATTTTATTACATGTAACTGTAACATTTTATATTTCATGTAACTGTAAATAAATTCAGAACTTATAGCATTAAAGGAATCTGTCACATATTTTACATATAATTGTCTTGGAAAAGACAGCTTTTTAATAATTTTCACTTAAGATAATGGTATATACATTACCTTAAATAATGAACAACACCAAAAGTAAAACAAAATTGTACTTTCATGTATGAAATTGGGATGCATTATAAAACACTGAAAATACATAAAAACAAAAGTATTACATCTATATACTGTAACAAAATATAGTCAGTGCAAGAATAACATACATTACATTTACATGATATTAAATAGTAATTTTAAATAAAGTAAGGGACAACAATATGGTCAAAATGTTTTTTTTTCAGTTTTCATGATGAATAGAACACTTGATTGATTATACTGCCATCAGTTTAACAACAACTGTCCAGCACATTGAGTTCAAATCTCTTACATTTACATGAAATCAATAACCATATCAACATAAAAATGAACAATAAATACATAATGAATATAAACAACATAATACAACCATATTATAAACAAACAACACATTTAATCACAAAATCACTCACCAACCATGTTCAAACTGACTTTCTAATACCCATATACACCCTCTCACCCTGGGTGAACCACCTTCTTGATCATGGGGTTCCCCTGCCAGGTAAGTATGAAAGCCCACGTGGCCAGTCAGGAGTACCATTTCCCTCTCTACCATCCTCATCAACGGTGACCCCCCACACCTAGCAAAGGAAGGACGGGAGCCTGCAAACTGGCACGTGTTGGCATGAGCCGGCGCTTCCCAACCCTGGTTTTAGATGATTCCCTTTAACCAAACACACCTGATTCAACACATCAGCTCATTAGTGGAAGACTGCAAGAGGTGGGTGCGTCAGAGGAGAGATCTCAATAAACGGCAACCACTGCATCTGCGAGGGCAGACCTCCGTTTGAGCCGAGA